CACAGCATTTTGTGATTTCACTCTCTCTCTGAAGGTATTAAGCTGGCATCTTCTCTTCCTCTCTTTTATAATAGCCTGGTATTGTTTTGGGCTCTTTTATTATTTTGGTGGCTGGTATTATTTTTGATTTCCATAAGTCTTGGTCTGTTGGCTTTGCTAGTCTTTTATGTTCAGCTGGAACAATGGCAATCCCCCAGCCACCGGCCCTACCCTCAATAACAATTCCCACAAATAATGACACTACCCCTAATCTGTGTGTGTGTGAGCGCCACTCAATGACAATTTGGGGAAATCACATTTGAATCACAACAGATGAGTGATGACAGACAGAAATAGGCCTTGGGTGATGCCAACTGAAAATGTGTCATCCGTCCTCTCCCTCTTTGTCTCTTCCTTTATATATTTATATTCGGCTCCGCGTTCATGCAGAAACTCGCAACTGGCATTTATTGATGGAAAAGCCTATTGTGGCCCATTTCTTTGACAAACACCCTCAATGTTGATACATCTTTTTTTATAGAGCTACATTTCTGATCCCCTCAGGGATCATCTTGGGTTGGGAACCGAGAACCGGTTCTGTAAGCCAATATTTGGGAATGAATTAACAGTCAAAAGTTAAAATACTAAAATTCTGACTTGAATCGGAATCAGAAGTTGTCCTTTTTTTTTTTTTTACCTAGCATTACTCTTTCTTCTCGTCCTCTTCCTCTGCTCTGTGTGTGTGTGTGTGTGTGTGTGTGTTGGGAAGGAAACCCCACAGCCCTGACCCACACCCCCCATACTGGCACCAGCTGTGGATCAATACTGGGACAGCTGGGACTGCCACCCGCCTAAACACTACACACATACACACCCTAAAGTGGATGAAGCTCCCAGTCGCACCCCTTTCTTCCTCAGGCTTTCTGGAAATGTCAGTCAAAGGAAGTTTGAGGTTCACTTTAGGTGTGAGAGCCTGCAGGTGTTTGGTGGTGTTCTCCTCTAACAGGGACACACAATTACACACACTTATACATGCAGATGGGAAATCTTGAATATAGTCGTCATTTGAAGTATAATGGCTGTTATCCTCTCAGTCACGGTGTTGGATTATCATCGTGTTAACAAAACAAACATTTAAGCACAGGTCACAGGCAAACATGTCCATGATACACTGGGAAAACTGTAAACCCAAACATGCCATGGCACCATGGACGTCATCCAGAGTAATGTGTCTAATCACTTATTACTGCATTATTAATATCTTGTTTTACAGTTAATGGTGTTGTGTTTTCAGAAAAATGGCAAACATGTCAACTGGAGTTGGGCAAAAAACATTTTCATTGTTGTAAATAGTTGCATTTTATATATAATTTCTATAGGGTTGCCATTTGAATTTGTATACAGAATTGCAATGTAGACATTGAACTGCACATATAGTATGCAGCAGTGTTGTTTTAGTAGGATTTATATACCGTCATAGTATAGTATTAGAATAGCATTATAGTATTTATTAATATTTTGACAATAACTAATACAGTTACCTAACTTTAGTTAACTAATACAGTGTGTTTGTATGTTTTCTTTAACTTAATACAATCGCACAATGCTAATAATGTAATCAGCAAAACACTTTCTGACATTTTGGTTTAAACGTCTCTGCTTTGGGACTAAATGGTTACGGTGGTTTAAAGTTATTTTGCAGGATATACACAACTTTAATAAAACATACGTAAAGTTAACGTTTTCCACAATATGTAGTCAAAATTGACTAAAAATCAAAAATGCTGGCATATGTTGATAATCTCAATATAATCTAATATTTTAGTCTGTTATTAATTAGAAAAATATTGTTCTCGTGGACACATTGATTTATTTTAAATATATATCTGCTCACTGATGTTTAATGCATTTTCAGTTTTTAAACACTACAGTTTGACACTCTTCTCTCAGAAAGAGAAGAGTCTATGTTGGTGTGTGTGTGTGTGTGTGTGTGTGTGTGTATAGGGTCATATGCTCCTTAAAGGAGCAGCAGGGGGCAGCAGTCAGCCACCCTGGCACCTTCATCTCCCCTCTCCGCCGGGTATTTAGCAATTCTGTGGGTACAATAGCTGCGTATTGATAGTCATATCCCTGTGATAAATTAAAAGTGTCGTATTGTCTCTTTTCATTTTACACATTGTCATAACCCTGGACGGTAATCTGGGGTTCTGATTGACACCGGCAGCCAGGGAAAAGAACACCCTCATTGTTTGCGCTCGTCAAATCTGTTAAACCTAATTCTTCCCTGCATATTTGCATATTCTTAAGTATTTTTTCGGAGAAGGACTAAATCCTTCTTAAGTGTTTGATGCATTTTGAAATTCATTCATAAAGGACCTACATGCACTATTAGCTTGGTATAATGCCAGTGCATAATCTCAGTGATAAGACACGCTTTGGAGCGCTGGATTCTTCAGGGATGACATGCTGTATTTCCGACCGATTCAACAGGGGCTCAAATGTCAACACAAATGTCAAGTGGCTTCGTCGGCGAGCGGTTTTGAATCTTAGACGCAGGTTTTTTTCTCCCTTTTATCATTTTCATTTACTGAAGGAGTCGCAGAGGACCATCTCCCGTCCCAGCTGGCGTGTGGGATTGTGGGTAATTTGTCTGTGTGCGAGATTGGCAGGCGGCACTGTTGTTTTGATCGGGTCAGCGCTCAGGCGCTTTATGTCTCTGTCTGTGTTTCAGCCACCGGCACGTGGGATGTTCTTCATCGATGCCGTTCGGTCAGATTAATCACCTTCAGCAAACCGGAAGAAGGGTCAGTGTGTGCTGCCCTTGTGTCCTGTGTATGGAGCTGTATTGAGGCATTTCTGAGGCGAAAATAGTCACTCTTCAGCTCTCTTCGTCTCAGTCTTCCTGAGACTGCTCTGATAAGGGCTCCTCTTTACCTACGGGACCACTGATACATGCAAACACGCACTCGTGCGCCTGCGAGCGAGATTTCTATCTGGAGATCTATATATAGTCACTCCACATATGCGCACAGGCAAGTGTATGAATGCAGGCTCTTTGAGAGATTATACACGGGGCCTTCATTTCTCTCTCTGCTCATTTTGTTTTGGATTACTCTGCGCAACAGGCCTGATGAGATAAACGTGAAGAGAGCATAAAAGACAGAAAAATAGGCCTGTATGGCTTATATCTCGCCCATAGAGAAAGCTTGAAATGAAAGGTGCTTGCTGAAAAGAAAGCCAAATAATGGCTTACAGCGAGAGAAGAAACTTGTACAGAGTGTAAAAATGTAAATGAGACGGAGAAAAAAATAAATAATTAGACCATTACGTTTCTTGTTTGAGTCATTTCCAGTGTTCGAACTGTCAATTTAGGTGAATTGATTTTTTAACCAGTTCATGATTCTGATTCAGTGAATAGTTGCATTTTCACTCAAATATGTTCATAAAAGAATGCTCTATATTAAACATTTTTGTATATACTAATTAAATGATTCAATTATGAAAAATAATTAATTGGTAGATTCAAATGTATATGATTATAACAAATTATTAGTTTTCTAAATGGATTTAAAAGTTTTCTCTTATCCCTCCCTTTCTTTCTCTGTACTTTAATTTGTATTTAGATGTTAACTAGTGAATGTATTAGTGTCAAATGTTTTCGTAACAATTTGTTGATTAATATTGCAATATTATTAATAGGTATTAATATTGGTGAAATTAACTGGGGAAACTGATGATCTTTAACTTTTACAGTATTTTACTTGCATTAATCATTAAATATACTGGCTGTTTTATTAAAATGTTCCTCTAATTAAAAAAAATAATTTAAGCCATATTTAGATATGTATTGAGTATCATCAAAGGGCTGAAGAATATTGAGAGATCTTTATTGATATTTTTCTGTATTGCCTATCCCTGCACTGTGGCCTGTGTGATGGTGTCAAAACATGTTTCACAGGTTGAGCGTGGTACTTTCATCCGGGAGGAAATTGCTGATACTTAGTCAGCAAGCTGAGAAAATGCCTCAAGAACAAACAATAAAAGTGATGATATTTATTTGGCAGGTCAGGAAATGTCTCCAACTGTGTTTCCGACCTATCTGGCAAATGGAAAGTGTGCAGGTGGCCCAGTGTTTTGTTTTGTTCCGTTTTTCTTAGATGTTGTCGCCCTAAAGTCATTTTGGCACATGGCTGGTGTCAAACCCTTTTGCTCTCGTATTTTTTTTTTAAACCATTATCATTATTATTATTTTTTTAAACAGTCTGAATCCATAACCTGAGATATCAGAATTGATGTTTACTAGACTTCACTAACCATAAACAAATCCAATGAATTGGAGAGCAGAATAATAGCCAGTTCAGTTTTCCTTTCTAATCCCTTTAGAATATTCCAGTCCTTTTACCTACAGGGGGTGCCATTGACCATTATGACTGGGTATGTTTACTCTGCTGGTCTTAGAGGTGATGAACTAATACCGAGTTTGATTATTTAAATGATTTAGGCAAATGAACGCCTTTTACTTTCAATGTGACCTTTCTTTGTTTGAAAAGTTGTTGACATGATGTTATCAAAGTGAAGCTTTATCTCACCATAGAGAATTCAGTCACTCTATTTGCTATCATTTTTATCATTCTGTTCTGAGTTTATACTCCATTGAGACAGTCTATATAAACTTGTATGCACATGTTCCAGGAGTGCCGGATTCCCCTGGTGTGAGTGTGTGTGTGTGGGCTTTGAACATGTTAAAACAGGTGACGATTTTACCCATAAGTGTAACTAAGGATTAGCAACATTCATTCATTCTTTTTGATTGTTTTTATTTTCTTAGTAAAGCAACATTTCCTATTTTGTCATATGCAAATTCTTAGAGTTTGAAACTGTTAAAAACATACTGATGTCAGTTTATCTGTGTTTTTTTTGTATTGTGGTGTTAGCAATTGTAGTAAATGAGTTAAATTTTTTATTTTTGCAGCTTAAGAAGTATTTAAGCATCTCTCTGTTTTTTGTGTGTGTTATTTTAGGAATCTCCGTCGGGTCGTCGGAAAGCGCTGGCCACCAGCTGCATTAACATGAAGCAGTATGCCAGTGCCATGCCCACACAGACAGACGTCAAGCTCAAGTTCAAGCCGCTGTCCAAGAAAGTGGTTTCAGCAACACTTCAGTTCTCCCTGTCCTGCATCTTTCTGCGAGAGGGCAAAGCCACGTAAGAGCAGACCACTACACCATCTAAAACCAGCTGACTACACCCACCCTGAAGGAATGCTGCCACTTCAAATTAAGCTCTTATTCCTTTTCTCTCTGTGCATTTCTTTCTTTTTTTGCCTCAGTTACAGGGAGTGACAATACCTGACATTCCCAGCAGTCCTTTCCCTGGATCTCTCCCCCTCTCATCCCTTCCTCTCTTCCTCTCCCTCTATGATTTCATCCTGTCTTCATATGCACCCCAGTGAGGTTGTTCTCTCTTTCGCTCTCTGGAATGTTCTTGCCAGTGTGGGAATTAGAGGCCTTTTATACACATATATATGCTCATTCGTTCTGCCAATTGATCTGAATGGGTATAATTAATTTAGTATTTGGCTAAATAATATAAGAGCTTTATCTTTGATATATAAAGTATTTATTTTATTGAAGAACTTGACAAAAATTACTTTTTTTCCCTCCAAAAATCATGATCTTTAAGATTTTGACAGGTAGAGTTTCATAGAGAGAGCCTGATGCTATTCATTTAGTACAAATATGCACTTGTTTAGTACGAATATTCCTACTTCTCTACTAAGAGTATGCAAAAAGCACTATGTCATATGAGTAGTATAGCTAAATGAGTAGTATAGCGTTCCTAAGTTTACAGTAGGCTTGGTGAACTCTGACCTGCGAATTCGTATCATGTGAATGAGCAGATCAATACGTCAAAGCATGACCTCATAGTGGAATTAAACGAACATAAATTTAAAACTGCACCGCTGCAGGAAAATGGAGTAGATTGTAAGTTTTTACATTTTAGATGTATTATTATGTTATGTGTTGAATTTAAGTTTTTAAAAAGATGCTGTGGAGCGTGATGTCATATCACGACCAGTGTTGGGGGTAATGCATTATTAAGTAACGAGAGTTACGTAATCAGATTACTTTTTTTAAGTAACTAGTAAAGTAACGCATTACTTTTTCATTTAGAAG